TGATATTGTGACTTTTAAATGAAGTACCTGTGGTAATTTAGGAGATTTGTCACTGATAATGGAAAGATGAAGCAGACGACGAAACATGGCGTAAGATGTTGTTGTCCAAACTTCGGTTGTTTCCGTGGTACAATAAAATTGAAATAAACTGCACAAGTTACTAAAATTTCTAAATTCTTGTTTTTGTAAACAAATAAGAATTCATGTCACATTTAACATCAAATTTATTCCGTTTTGTCCCGTTTTTTCAAGATCGCGATAAACGAGAATCTGGCAGCCATCAAAAATATAAGGGTTAAACTAATGTCCTGAAATTGTCCTTACGGATATTCCAATGCTAATTTCGTTTTCATTATTTGAAGAATGGACCTTATATTTGGAGCCAAGCAAGAATACAATGATTATTTAATAAATATAATGAAAAAAAAGAAAACAAATATTTTTAAGAGTTAAATAACTTGACTTGATCTACTTCGAAAATTAAAAAAAAAAAATCGTACGAGATTTAACGAGAGTGACGAAACTTTTTAGATTGCTCATGTAGAGAGAGTTATCGTTCTTTATTCCAATTCGATGCTTCTACCATAAGTGCCAGCTAAAGCTGGCATATAATTTTAAAAATTTAAATAAATCTTCTAAATTTTTATGGCTCTTGACTCAAGAAAATGTAACTCTTATGGAAAAACTGGGCTGTTATATTTGTGACTGTTTTGAATTAAGGAGATCAGGTATGCATATTGACACTAAGTCAAGTAAATGATTTGAGAATGAATGCATATAATGTAATTTTATTCTTTTATTCACAATATATATGTGGTTTTTGGCTCTGATTCTGACCAATGCTAATATACTAAATATATATTTTCAAGTGACTATTATTGTTGTTGTTACCAATTATGTAAATCAATTGTATCTGATTTTATGCCCTTTATGGGCCCTGTGATTTGGGAAATAAAAATATTCTATTCTATTCTATTCTATGTTGATTGACCCGAACACTTCATAAGGCACTTCAATAAAAATATTCTATTGTACAAATGGATTATTCATGTACGGTGTAATTTTGAGAGATGGAAATCAATCATTAACAAAAAGACTGATATTGTGCTGTTTAGGATGTTAAAATCGAGATTAACCTATACTTGAAATATGCCGACTTTGTAATAACTGCAGTCTTTAAAACAAAACAAAAATTTACAATGTACACCAATGAATACATACTTGAACTTCATCTGCTTAACATAATTGAACTTAAGCAAAAGAGACGATTAAAAAGCTTGAGAATGTTTCATTATATCAATTAACGCAAATGTTTGAGGGGGTGACACGGGGGTGCTCATTTTCTAAATCCAACTTTTTAAACCTGTATATCCCACATTTTCATTATTTTAACCCCCTTTCACCTATATCCCACATTTCAAAAGTGTCACCCCTCAAAGATGCTTGATGATCATACATTATATCAATTAACGCACACGTCAATATGTCTTCTTTATCTGAGAGTGCATGTATCGAAAAATCAATTGATCAAATGAGTCTGACAGTTTAAGTGGTTTTATGATTTTCTTCTTTCTGTTCTACCTACTATGTGTTCAAATATCAAAGTATTTTGATTGGTTTAATTGATCTTTTGGTTTTGCGTGGGTTGATTGTTTGTTTCTTCTCTTCTTTTTTTTTTTCTTTTTTTCTTTTTTTTTTGTATGTTTATGTTGGGTGTTTTTTTGGGGGGGGGGGGGGGCAATATTTGATGTTTGCATCTTTCAGGACCTTCCAAGTATTGATTCTTTGATTATATTTATTCTTTGAATCACATATTTACAACTGTTATGAAATCTTGCCAACATATCTTTTCATAAGCATTCGAAAAAAATATTTCTCTATGACGCAATCGTGAAAATGATGTGCATTATAATATTATCAACAGCCAAATTTTCTTTCAGTTCTTATGGTTGCTCTTGCATTAACGTATACCAGACATTTCTGTGTATTCATTTAAATAATGAATTCAAAAGCACGTTCAATAAAATTAATGAAAAGCATTAATATACTGGTAAATAATGTTGATTAAAAAACTTGGCAAGGGATACACACATATATTAATCCTAGTTTTTACTAAATATTATCTCAAATCTATAGAAGGAGCATGATTTCATTTGATTGAATTAAACTAATGTGGTATTTTATGCCTACCCTTTAATGGTTAGACTTATTTATAAAGCAAAAAGCTATAAGAATGCAGTACAAATCTTCCCTTTGACCTTACAGACTTAATTTCAAAAATTATCATGCTACTGTTGTTGTGAAATCTGTACGTCTTGTGTATATCGGGTTAATAGACTTGCTTAAGTACAGTTTGACAATTTACTTTGCGCATTGTACAGTATTTTGGTTTAAAAAAACAACTTTGTTTTACCCATCATACTATCTCATGTCACAGGCATGTCTCTGACAAAATACCTATACACGAATGGTTTATTATGGTGCAACCTGTATAATTATATGCAACGAATACATATTAGTAAAATAGTACATTACAGCCAGCCAATTAGGCTTACGATGCATTGACAAATTGAAACTCAATATATTTGAAAAAAAAAAAAAATAAATAGCAAAAAATTTGGACGAATGGCTAAGTTGTTAGAAAACACAACAGTTAAAGCAAAATAATTAGAGAATATACCATTAAGGTATATAGTATTTTTTTCAGAGACAAATGCCTGTGTCCCATGTCCACAGTTAGGAGCCTCGTAGGTAATTGCTTTTGAATTTGTTATTGGTGTCAAATGCTTTGTAGTATTTTTAGGCCTTGTCTACGATAGTAGAAGCCACATAATGTTTTTGTTCTGTCCACCCATTTGTCCGTCCGCCCGATTTTGACTCCGATTTCAGGTTTACTGAACATGGGCATAGGATATGGTGCGAGCGGGGCATGATGTCCTATTCTTTTTCAAGGCTCTGTTGAATTTATTCACGGAAAAACTTGACAAGATTCATGAAGATTGAGAGCTTGACATAATCTTGATTAAAACAAATACCCACTATAATCTGATGTTCATTAGTTGTCGTTTGTTGATGTGGTTCATAAGTGTTTCTCGTTTCTCGTTTTTTATATAGATTAGACCGTTGGTTTTCCTGTTTGAATGGTTTTACACTAGTCATGTTTGGGGCCCTTTATAGCTTGCTGTTTGGTGTGAGCGAAGGCTCCGTGTTGAAGACCGTACTTTGACCTATAAGGGTTTACTTTTATAGTTTTTACTTGGATGGAAAGTTGTCTCATTGGCACTCATACCACATCTTCTTATATCTATCACTATATCATCCTTGATATTCTGACAATGAGTGCCTATATAGACTCATTTTTTCTGCATTTTAGGGGCAAACACGTATTGTGAAACTCGAGTTTCTGTACTTCTTCCTTCCGATCATGCTTATATAAACACAATTTTTTTTCGAGAGAGAGTTGTATTTACATTAGTATTCCTATTAGGGACGACACAATTATCCTATTGATAATATTCGATCAGCTGAGCCTGTATAGATGCGTTTAAAGTTAATTGCCTCATTACTTGATTTAGTACAGATCATACTTTGATTTTATCGAATATTCTTATCCGGCATTTGACTTCTTATTATGAAATCATAGTAATTGGATGGAGAGCACAAATCAGTAATCGTATTACTTAAACATCCATTCAGTTTTATAGTTTTTTGTCAGAATGCGTCTTGAATATCCACGAAATATATATTTGACATTGGACGCAAAGCAAAGAGCAATCGATTTTCACGAATTTGAAGATTTTTGTAGAGTGTTAAGACAATAAAAACAAAATGTATTTGAATAGTTAATGATAAATCGATTCTTGTATTCGAGGGCACGTTAGTGACCGAGGATAGATCTATTTACTTCTCATAGAAGTAGCACATACTCAACCAACAAAAAAATTGTTTAGTACAGAAAAAAACCGGATAGGGTTGCACTCTTTCAAGTTGTTCTGACTAACTTTTTAAATGAGAAATCTTCATTATAGAAACTGTATTGTCATAACATTGTTGACTGTATGAATGAATTGTGGCACAACAAAATCGTTTTATTGTATGTTTGAATTGACACAGCTTGCAACATTTGCTGATCAATAAGAGATAAAGATACATCTGGCCGAGAAAGCGTAAGTATATACAATATACGGTATGTACTATCAACGACATAACTTTTTTGTTGACGTCATTGTCAGATTTCAAGATTCAGTATCTACTACACCTTTTTTGTTGGCTTCTTTGTTAGATTAATTGGTTTGTTTGAATTTTGTAGTCAGTTGTGGTTATGTTTGTGATGTATGTTTACAAAGTTTTGGCTGCTGGATCACAATTATTGTACGTCACATTAACTAGTTATGTCTGTTTGGGTTGCTCACCCAACTTTGTAAATATATCTCAACAATAAACAACTCTCATACAAGTGGGAGGTTTAGCTAGATGTAAAACCAGGTTTTACCCACCGTTTTTTTCGGGAAATGCCGGTACAAAGTCAGGAATATGACAGGCAGTTGTTTTTCACTTGTTCCTTTGATTGATATCGTTTGATTTTGTCAGTTTTTACGGACTTCCCCTTTTTGAATTTGCCTTGGAGTTCGGTTTGTTGTTATACATTTTTTTTATTTAAATATTTTTTATGAATGTCCGCTTCAATAATCTGATTACAGGTAATATTTTTGAATTGAATACTTTTGGTGTGTCATTTGTCCTCGGTTACTTACGTGACCTTGGATAGATTAGAGATACAATTTATAATCTATTACCCAATCATATCAGTATATTAAATCTTGTAACTGTACTGAATCCACTGACTCTAAAGAGAGAATCACTTAGTTTATAAAATATGGGTCACATATAACAGATACAGGTTTTTAATTAAATCCATATTTTGTGATAATTTACTATAATTAATGTTTACACACTATTTAATGAAAATATCGACAAATACACAGCGCGAGTTATTATCAGTAGTCATGCATCTGGGGGTTTACGAGTTGTATGCCTCTTCGTTTATATTATAGATTATGACTGAATTTCGGTGTCTTCTAATCAAGCTAATGAATTATGATTTTCAAAAGGTTTTAGTTTATGTGTAGTTAAGTAAAAACAGTTGGGATGGATAGAAAATGACATATTTTTCATTGATGTAAAGTGTTATTAACACTTTTTAGTTATCGTTAATTTTCGTTCTTCCTTCCTGTGAAACCCATTATGTACGTAGAGGTTTATCAACATCCCAAGCATTTATAAACATCGCTTAATTTCCAAACGGTAAGTTATATTTCTTATTTGAATATGAATTTTAGGGGGTGGATAATAAGTTTTTGAGAAATATGTCAAATACATATTTGTATGTCTAACCACAAATACTTTTGAATTGAAAAATACGATACGACATATGTACACTGTAGCTGAACGGAATATTGGTTAAAATACGACGGAAAAGAGTTTCCCTCTGTAAGGAAACGCTTTATTATTTTTCAATTAATGAATTAAAAAAGTTGGATATGAGAATAATATTTAACGTGGCCGTTTATGTTTTCTTTCTCAAAATTTGTATATTTATCAAATTCAAAGTTGTTGATCGTTATACTAATTTTTATCTTATGCACAAGTACTTTGAATAAGATCAAGTAAGCTTAATTTAACTTCGATGTTGTCTGTGTGCAAAGCGATGAAATGATAATTCTCTTAAACTGCAACTAAAATTCTTCGCCTCCAGTTGTAGAAAGAACCTTATATAAGAAAAATACTCCTAAGAGGGTCTGGATGGGGGTTCCTTCATTTCTGTATTTTTTGATTTTTTAGGCCATTTTTCTCTATTCTGTATACCTTTTGCTCATTATTCTCTATTCTTTATTTTTTTGGTCCAATTTTCCCTATTCTTTATATTTTACGCCCATTATTCTCTATTCGGTAAACCCCCATCCACATCCTCTCCGAAGGATCTCAGCCGAACAGATATGCGAGTAGCTGAAGTCATATAATTAAAGTTTATATTTGTTGGAGAATTGCGAATGGAAGTAATAAGATATTGTTTTCTTCTTCTCAAGTCTCATACTGTTTCAATTACGTTTTCAAACGTTAAAGAATGGTATTTTTCAAATTCATGGAATATTTTTTATTTTCGAAGACTATTTTTGATGAGCTGAAATTAAATTAGTATATGACATCTTTGAATTAATGATTAAAATCATTCGATATTGCGACTTAGTTTTGCTTGTATATAAATATTTCTCTGATATGGTTATGTAATTTGTATTTTGTTTGTCACAAGCTGTTCTTTATATGTTTTAGGACAATACAGATATTATTCAATATTTCATTTTTAAATAAATATGTTATAATCCACTGAATATTCAAAAATCTATACATGATGGCATACATGTTTAAATAATATATGTGTATTCAGAGAAACGAATGAATTGTATCAGATGTCTGCATAACGGGAGTGATATATAACTTTCAAAGAAATTCTAATTTCACCCAAAATATTTAGTATCTTAACGATACCTGTGAATTACAAATCAGAAAATTGAAAGGATTTCGAAAACAGTTCTATGCTATAACAGACTGCTTGATAGAAACTAATATATGGACTGAAAACCCATATTCCAATAAAAAAAACACATATTCCATGAAAAAAAAACATATTCCTTAAAAAAACATACTATTAGAATTAAACATTAATCTTCATTTGATCTTTTCCAAAATTATTGATTTTAATAATATATGAAAACTGGACAACTAAGTTATACGGAGTCGCAATCTGTATAGACATAATTTTGAAAGAATTACAGCAGCGTTTTCTGTTTTATTTCTAACTTGTAAAGATTAAAAAAAGCTTTTTAAAATTACACTAGTATATTCCTTACAGAACAAAATTTAAAAGATTTTCGTACCGATACCATACATTCCGATAGCTTCTCTATAGAGGAGATAAAAAAAACTTTTTTATTACAGTTCATCTATCTCCTATAATATATATAACGATGCACATAGAAAATGTCATCACTTTGAATGACTTGGTGAACATGTGATGGGATTTGTAACATACATGAGATGGCAAAAGAAAAGCCTTTTCATTACAGTTCATCTATAATATATTATCTCCTATAATACATATCGATGCACATACAAAATTTCATCACTGAATGACTTGGTGAACATGTGAATCAGATTTGTAACAAGCTGAAAACAAAACATGAAATCTGTCTAGAAATCTATTACCTACAGTATACACCCGGAATTGATAGTAGCTAACTTATGGAAAAACCCGCTTTGCATGTCGGGGACTTTTGTAGCTTACTATATGGATTGGGTTTTGCTAATCGCTGAAGACTGTGCAGTGGCCTATAGTTGTCGATATCCTCATCGCTTGGACTCGGTGGATAATTGTCTAATTGGCAATCAAACTGCACAATTGTATTAAAATCTGTCGAGGCATAAAAAGGTTAATAAAGAGCTGCGCCATGAGCGCATGATACGCCCGTCGCTTTTTTCAAAGAATATAATTTTTCCTTAATTCCTTAATGTCATACCAGAAGTTTATAAAAAAAACTAAAGGGGCCTTACGTAAATAGATTTATACTTACTCGTTCTATTTGAGCAGTCAAAATGCGTTGACTGTATATTTCTATGTCATATACAGTCACTGACCCGATATCACTTTTCCTCATGAATATTTAAATAGTAGAGCCGACTGTATTTAATTATTCATGACGACCTCTTCAACCTGTCCTTGTTTGCAATGTATACAACGAAGCGTGGAACAATATTTAGAAAAACATATTTCACTTGTTAATATTTTTTGTTTGAAACCTATAAATCATTATGTTTTATGCTTATTGTTGATATTTTAGTCCATACTCAAACGAATTCGTTCACCATCGATTGGTTTCAACAGGTTATGTACATTTCATTGTGTTGTATATTTCTCCCCAAGATATGTGGCCTTTTTAAAGGGGGATTTTCCCAATATTTAAATCGAATAAATAACATTAACACAATAAACAACAATTGAAAATGTTTTTATCTAGATTGCAGTATAAAGACAATAATAGTGTATTGACTTGACATATCAACGATATAAGGATTCGGCCCGAAACGGGGAAAAAGCTCGGCAGAGCCTCGCATTTCCCCGTTTCTAAGCCTCATCCTTATATCGTTGATATGTCAAGTCAATGCACTATTATTGTCTATATAAACAATTCACCAAAGTTCCATGAAAACTGCTCAAAGCATTTATGTTTTATTGTCCGAAAACTGGAAACCCCCCTTTTTTAATGAATAAAACCCCGGAAACGTAAAATCTAAAATTTATAAAAATCAAAAGAGAGCTCACGTCAATAGATATTAACACTTTACCAAAGTTTCAAACAAATTGGTTAAAGTGTATTTGAGTAATTGTCCGACATGTTGACGACGGACGGACGGAGGGACGAACAGACTGACGGACAACGGTATACCATAATACGTCCCGTAAACGGGCGTATAAAAATTGCATACACATAACTCCTGTGTCTGTATTTCTTATTCCATAAAAAAAAAAAACACCGAAAAATATTGTATTGTTAATTCTGAAGACAGTTCATTTAAAGAAATATTTTGTTTTTCAGGCATCACAAAATATACGAGCCATGAATGCTTCTGCCTTAAACAACACCCAAAGTTTCAGGAGATCTATGCCATTTACCTTGGAGACATTATCAGAAAGGAGAGTTCTTATAAACATTCCGTCTATAATATATACATTTATATTACTGTTTATCGGCATACCAGGCAATGCAACTGTCTTCTACATCTACCTTACAAGATGGAAGAAAAGTTCTACACGTGTATTTATCATTGCCCTGGCAATACTGGATTTCACCAACTGTACATTAACATTCCCATTTGAGTTAGCACATATGTTCAACCCATTTACATTTGATTTTCCTGTATTGTGTAAGATATTTCGGTTCACTACTTACACATGTAATAGTGGCGGGGCTTTGTTGCTGATTGCTATTGCCGTAGACCGCCACATGAGGATTTGTAAACCGTATAAAAAGCCAATGAACCCAAAGACAGCCAAACTAGTATCAATCGTAATTGTTGTGACTTCTGTCGCCACGTGCTGGCCTTCTCTAATAATATACGGCATAGAAGTTCGGCCCATTACACCAACGATTCAACTGAAATTCTGCTTAATTGAAACTGGATATCGTGACACGCAATACCCATTGGCATATCTTCTTGTTCAGTGCGCATGTACTATAGTTATATTTATAGTTTTAGTCGTCATATATTCAATTATTGGCGCCCAAGTATGCCGTCGTTGGAAGTTCAGGACAACATCATTAAAGTCCGTGGGCGAGGGTGACGATGGAGTTATTGCTGACATTTCGTCTCATTGCAATGATAAAGATGATAGCGTATGGAAAGATGAAGAAAAGGATAATAATTCCTCCATTTTAAATGAAAATGAGCATAATCTGAAACCGGATGCTGTAAAAGTGCCATATTTATCCCAATCATCAACAATGCTAAAGAAGAAAAAAGTTTTTGACTCCCGCGCGATACGTATCGGAAAAACAACAATCATGTTATTTGTCGTTACCATTGCATACATTCTTTGTTTCTCACCATTCTTGGGGTTAGCAAGCCATCGATCGATTTACCCAGAACGATGGCTAAATCTATCTCAGGCCGGAGAAACACTTTATCAATTTTTCTTGCGATCCTACTTGGCCAACTGTGCTATCAATCCAATCATATACTCTTACTTCAACCGGATATTTAGACAGGAGTGTGTCAAGTTCTACCGGAAACTTTTTTGTACAAAACAAAACGTTTACCGACCTTAACATGCTTAATAATATGATGATGGGTTATGTACAAAACATTCTGACGTTTTAATTTTATGCGCATTTGTACGAAATTTCCAACTTCTGACGTTGATGTTTGTGTTTGTGTGTCTGTAAATGACCTTGAACTTCAGTAAAAATAACACAAACACGGGCAGATGTGTTTTGCTTATAAACACATTTGTTTACAATGGTGGTAAACAGAACTGCAAATAAGTTATTAAGGAGCTATTTATGAAACAGGAGGCAAATAGTTACAACCTAATGTTGCCGAGTTCGTTGATTTATTTTATTGGTTGTATAAATTGTATAAATATTTCAAACAAGTCTGAGAAAGACAAAACCTTTATCTTGGATATCGATGAAATAGCTGCCACGGAGTCTCAGTATTTTTTCAGTGATAGTTACTGTAAGAAGAAACTAGACGAGCATTGAGGTGACTGTTAAAGGGGAAACGTCCGGTTATCAAGAAAACAATGAAAAAAACATTAAAAAACAGAATTAAAATACTTAGTATGAAAGCTAAGGTTTATATATTTGACTATTTTAAAAACATGTCATTTTCTGCAGGCACCAATGATTACAAATATTCATTTGTAAACATTATGTGGTAGAATGTCAAGACTGTAAGATTTTGAACAAACGATGTTGTCTTATAATGGTATTTTGATAGAATTTAAAAAGATTAATTTTCATTTGATCTTTTCCAAAAGATTGATTTTGATAATAAATAAAAACTAGACAACTAAGTTATACGGAGTCTCATTCTGTATAGATACACTTTTGAAAGAGTTGCAGCAGCGTTTATTGCTTTATTCTTAACTTGTAAAGATTAAAAGAAGCTTTTTAAAATAATACTTGAATATTCGTTACAGAACAACATTTAAAAGATTTTCGTACCGATACCATAGATCCTGATATCATCTCTATAGGAAAACTTTTTCATTGCATTGCATCTATCTCATATAATATATACCAATTCACATAGACAATTTCATCACTTTGAATGACTTGGTGAACATGTGATCGGATTTGTAACATACATGAGATGGCAAAAGAAAAGCCTTTTCATTACAGTTCATCTATCTCCTATAATACATATCGATGCACAAAGAAAATTTCATCACTTTGTTGTAACAATCTGAATACAAAACATAAAATCTGTCTAGAAATCTCTTACCTACAGTTTACACCCGGGATTGACAGAAAAGATAAACTTTTTATCACATATGTTTATGTTATATTCGAAAAGTGTTATATTAAGATTGATGCTGATGTATACATTCCAAAGTCAAATCATTCATCAATATGAAATATGTTTTGTAAGTAAACACATTATCCCTTTGCTTTTATACTGTGCATTTTGATAATAGATAACTGCATGAAGACATTCCTAAGACGACATATACAGTCAAACATGCATATAAAGGTCACCCAAGGGGACAACACTTACCTTATAACAGAGGTGACCTTTGAATAGACTTATTTATTTCTACTATGGGACAAGAACTGGATGGCCTGACAAGACGGGCTTTCGCTTTAATAGAGGCGACTTTTATAGCAGGTTCAACTGTACTACCCAGGTTTTTATAAATTTATCTATATTTTTTACTCAATACACTAAATGAAAATTATCTACCTGAACATACACTTATTCCAAATACTAAAATATATTACTTTTCTTTTCCTATTGTTTGTTTTTCCTTTCCTTGGCGATGATAGGAAGTTTCGTTTATTCTACATTTTTCAGTTGTTTCTATAAGCGTGTGTTTGAAATAACATCTCAACTTTCAATGAACGTAATATTTCTATGATTAAAAATATTTTTACAGCAGGAAAACACAAATCATGAATTGAATTTTGTAAATAATCATAACTGTATATTAAGTCGATAAAAAAAAAAACTGTCACACAGATCTTTCCACTTTTTTTTTTATTTCGGAAGTTTCCTCTTGTACCGGAACACGAGGTAGGCTTGAACAATACACTAAACCACCAAAACTATTTAGATCTTCTTCAATTTAAAAAAGAGATATGAAGTTCTTTGATTCTTCAATATTTCAATAGCTTTATTTATAAAAGTTATGTATTATCCAGGCTATTCCAGCAATTATAAAAAAATTCTTCGTTTTAATGGATGGGTTTTAGACTGAATTTAATAACTTTGTCAACAATTCCAAAACTGCAAAAACTCTTTAATGAAGAAAACGATAGCAAATTTTCCTTTATGGTTTCATAAAATTATTAATAAAAATAAGTGTAATAAGCAGTTGTTAAATCATTGCTACTTGTATTTTTCGGTATTAATATTGGTGAGTGAGGACTCAAATTTTTTTTTTGTGTTTAATTCCTTTATCCCCCGGGTTTAATACAATAGTATGTTCGTGCACTGTTTTATTGTATCTGAAATCTATAATTAAACACAGAAGATTTAAAATATAATGACAAAAAAATATCTCCCTTGCAAGCATTGAGAAATGGAATTCTTTAACGTTTGACACGTCCTTCGCGAGAACACTTCGGCTCACACACAAAATAAAAAAAAACTTTATCGTAAAACTTAAAAAATTTAAATTAAAATAAAAACAGAATTACCACACAATGATGTATATGAACTCAGTTACGGACTCCCATATAATTCATACAAAACCCCGCCTCTAGGTGCGGAATTTTCTCTCTGCGCTGAAGACACATTGGTGGCCTTGTGTTGTTTTCTGCTCTTTAAACGGGTTGTTGTCTCTTTGACACATTCCCAATTTTCATTCTCAACCCTAAAAAAAATAATTTTTATCACAATATTCAGTTTCGCTATTTTGTTCTAAGTTAGAGTATTTTTTTCTGATGAAATTGCAGTAAAGTTAAGATTTTTTTTCTACAAAATGGAAGATAAATTAATGAAAACAAAAATTTTACTCATTAGATTTAACGTCTTCCATCGAAGATAACTTGATTTACGCGCAGCCGCTTTCTCTCAGTAAAGGTTGGTTAAACTTGTTAGGTTGGGTCAATTTCCCCTGTATTTTGTTTCACTCGAAGGGTCAAAATCTAAAAGTTGTCAAATCCTACTGATTTTGAAGATTACAGAGTCTATATCATATACTTTAAACATTATTCGACAGTTTTACATTTTTCAATAAAAATCTACATGGTGCTGTTGAATGCGTTTTGATGTAAAATTACAAATTGTTCATGTTATTGTAAAATTTTGCATTGAAAGACGTCTCTAAACAAAATAAATTGGTAAGAATCGGAGAGACAAAATATAGTTTTACTTCCAAAAGAATTTTGGTTTTGGTTTAGAATTTCCTTCTTATATTTTTTGTTGTTGACAAATACTAAAATTTTGCCACAATCTGTCAAAATCGTGGTTTTGATCTATGTTTAGGCGTTTAATATTTGTTCATCCGTCTGTTCACCCGATACAATACTTATTTGCTTCTTGAAGAAGAAAATTATTAATGCTGTTAGTCTTCTTCAAGTTATAACAAAGTATACTGTATAGACCGCACAGTACGCTACGGTACATTGTTAGCTTGAATTAGAAAGATGCACTTCGGTCCTACAAACGCGTTCGGAACAGTGGTCTGTTATTGTTAGAACCTATGATCTTCTTAGTTTATTATCATATGATACTTCTATTGCAATTATGTGAGAAACTTCTCTGTAAAATGATTTTTCATGATTCATAGTTACTTTAAAAGTATTTTTAACTCTTGATATGATATATGTTCAACAACAGCGTATGTTGCGTCCTAATTAATCAAAGTTGGTTAAGTACATTTGATTATCTAATTAAAACAAACACAAATCATATTTTCGAATAACAGCCATGTTTTTTCAATGAATAATTATGAAAAGAGAGAGATGGCTTGTATTAGTATTCAAAGACATCAGACAGAATGACGAATACGTCGATCGATACTGTACTCTTAGACCGGAATTAGTGTTATTATTCAAACTTACTAGAGATACGTTACTCTGTCATCGGTTCATATGTGTGCACCATTGTTGTTGGTTGGTTGCATAATATCAAGTGGCAAATATTTAATGCATATTCAGGACAATTGCACCATTGGTATCCCGTTTTTCTGCCACATAAACCTTGCAACAACTATATAGGGTCTAGGTGGCCTGTTTAAGGGAGCTACCATTTGATTTTTATGGGGGGGGGGGGGGGGGGGGGGGGGGGCTAGGATGAAATTTGAAAAAAATAGGCAGGACAGGAGTTTTGAGTAAAAAAAAAGGAAGGATGAGATTCTTTGCCAAAAAAAAAGGCAGGATGACAATTTATGTAAAAAAAAAAGTTAGGATAAACTAAAAAAAAAGGCAGGACCGAATAGAGGGAAAAATAAAAAGGCAGGACCGAATAGAGGGAAAAATAAAAAGGCAGGACAAAATTTTTCATCCTAGCACCCCCCCCCCCCCCCCCCCCCCCCTAAAAATCAAATGGTAGCTCCCTAAAGTCAAAATCTCTGTCCCTTTTTCAACATACCCTCATTTTCCATTTTCAGACAAATTTCGCACCCATTATCCCTGTCTCTTTAACTTGCAAAATCTAATCATTGTATCAAAAGTCGGTAATATGAAAAAAGTCTATTGAGGATGATCAATCCGATTTTCCGTAAAGGGAAAGCGCAATACTCTCTATCCGTATATAGAAAAGAAACTATCAGTTACTCTGCTGCATGGCAACAAATCTCAGAGAAATCTGTAGATGGCAAAATTTCTGACGTATCAAACAAAATCCCTTTTGCCAAAGGCAGATTAAATAAATCACGCCTTTCATTCCATTCGATCCACTTTTCAGAAAGATTTATCGTTAATTCAGTTCTGAATACACACGAAGTCTGCGCATGCGCCGCAAGGAAGTAGTGAAAATTTGAGAGAAATTATTTATTTAAAATCGCGTTAAATCCGATTACTTAGAAGTCATCCGACATATTTTATATGAAAATAAACAATTTGGAAGCCCTAAGAAGAGATATGTAGGAGATACGACGGGTCAAGCTGTGTATCTTTCCCAATATACCACTTTGAAAATCTGCATAGCCAAGGTGGAAATCAACATTCATCGACATCGTCACTTCCCATCAACTTTAGTCACATAAACCCATTGCTATATATTTACCAACATCGACTCACTGAATACCAACAAACTTTGATGTCAAAAACCAAACTTTTGAAGCAATTAGAGCGCCAACTCGAACCACCTACAGGTGGACGAGCGCATACCCCGCCGTACTTTCCGACAGCAAAGGAACTTGAAGTGGTTAGAGAGGAAAATCAACAACCCCCTAGAATCAAACCTAAAATGGTGGACAAAATCAGGTGAGACTACCGAAAAAGGTTACAAGTGGTTGAAAAGCAACATCAGACACAAAACAAGGAAACACGGTCAAATCTGGTTATGTATATATATGGTATGGTACCTGCGACCTAACATAAAAAAACAAAAAGTGTAAAGCCCTAACACCAGAAACAGACAGCGCCGTAGACAAAGCTGCTGAATACCTTGGGAAAATCAAAGAACTGATCAAACAATATCCTGGCTGTAGAGTCACCTTCCTTGAAATACCGGTCTACTCAATCTCAGAATACAACAAAAAACAAAGTCCATGAAACACCTGAAAACTTCAAGGAACAAGACAAGAAACTAATAGCACAAATATACAAACTAAACGAGAAGATCAGAAATCTCAACAAAGATGAATTAACATACTCGCGCATTTTTTACAACTGATATCATCCA